TTCCACCTCTCCCTGTTCTCTGCTAATATACATTTCTTTCTCCGCTAAGTTAACCACAGTTTTAACAATGGCCACCCTTTGGTGAGTTTAAGTTTTCCCAAAGATGCACTGATGTTCTGCTTTACATTACTCTCTATTAAAGTTGCTTGCGATACAAAAAGCTTTAGTCCACATATACCTCATCAAATGGCGTTTTGCAACTTGTACACTCCCAACTAAATATGGAGATGAAGACAAGGGCAGAATATCTGTGTTGGTTTCATTGACCTAAAGTTTTTGTTTACACCTTTTATTTCACAAAAATGTGACCAGTTTCTGAGAATGTCCTTTATTCCCCGTTTCACATTAGTCTAATTTATTGAAAAATAATCACTAGTTGGAGCTGCAATTTTTAGACTTGAACCAAATCTGCAAACTATAAAAGCATACTCATAAGTCATATTATCCTTATCCCTATACTTATGGTAGATATTATGGTCTCAAGTACATTTAGTATATCAACACTGAATACTGCACCAGCAGTTACTCACACTCTTGCTAACATCTTGAAACTTCAAACCGCATAACTGTCATTGTGATACTGCAGTAAAGGCCTGAGTGGGCTACTGAGACGATTCTAGTTTAGTTACTGCCAACTTCACTGGGAATTTAAAAAACTTCCACTGACCTACATCACAATTTATTTCCATTTTTTCAGTTATATCTGGGTTCTTCCTACAGGAAGTGTTTGGAATAATATGTTTGTAATGCAGAATATTGTTCTCAAAATTTAATATTTCAGCATCCACATTATGGATGTAATGTATATGAAGTGTTTCTTTTGAAAACATTTACCTCATATCTTCATTTTTTCTTTACCTGTCCTCAGTTTTTTTCTGTCAGTTGCACAAATAGTGTCTTCCATCATTTTAACTGCATGAGCACAATCCCAGACACAGACACGCAGACACACACACAAGCACACAACAGTGGTAAAAGTTCACATGGCTTCAGTTAGTGGGAAAAGTATCACATCCAAAGTAATAACACAAACATGGCAACCCAATGCGGCCCCCATGGCGATTGGCACATGACCTGGCAAGCCATTTATCATCAGGCTTATGTTGCCATATGTGTGTTCACTGCCAGTTTTAGTGATGTGTGTGTGGACCATAGACTGTATATATAAGGTGTGGACGCACGTGCACTTCATGAGTTGGTCCAGTGCAATTAGCTGGACTGAGTTTTGCGTGTGCCATAAAAGCTGCACTCTCCAAGCAGAACAGAACTGAAGGGTAATTATACTTTAGTTAATGCAATAAAACCCCTGTCACACTGTCCCGAAAATGACACCCGATGGACACACAATTAAGGAAATGTTCAAATTCGTCTCTGATCGTTACAACATCGGGCCATTCGTGGTGGCATCTTAAGCCATCGTATGACCGCCGGTGGAGTTTCTCAGGCTCCGGCATCAACTTCGAGAGCGGTGGCAACATCTTTGGCATCACAAAGCATTGCCGAAGGACCTTGTGAAGGTTCATTTTCGTGTTGACTTCGTGTGTCCATTTTGCCCTTCGTAAGGCATTCGTGAGGGCATCTTAAGCCATCGTATGACCGCCGGTGGAATTTATCAGTCTCCGGCAGCAACTTCGGGAGCGGTGGCAAAATCTTTGGCATGCCAAAGATGGCTTAAGATGCCCTCACGAATGGCCCGATGTTGCTACGATCAGAGCCGAATTTGAACATTTCCTTTATCGTGTGTCCATCGGGTTGTTTTATTGCACAACAAAATCATGTAAACATATTATGTAAATAACCCAATTTGTGTTCTGTGAAACTAAAAAGGATAGAATATATTATTTTGAAGGCGAGGAAGTTGTTGTTGCTATGGAAACAACATGACGGAGAAAACTTAATATCTTCTACATATAAAGACGGAGAAAGTAAAGAACAAAGTCTGAAAATATCAGTACAGTATCATAACACTTTAACATAATTGTTTTTGTTACTTTCGTTGCAGTTGTAAGTCTTAAATGTAATGTAAATGTTGCCTTTGTGTGTGGTTCGGGGCCATCTTCGTGCGAAATTCACAATTCCATATTAGTGTGTCCATCGGGTGTCCATTTTGGGACAGTGTGACAGGGGCTTTATTCATTCCCTCATCACGCCACAGTATTTATACCACCTCACTATCACTTGTCCTTTGCCAGATTGTCTTGTCGTTTCCGCCAAGCTCTCCAGTGAGTGTTGGTCTCTAGTCTAGATTTTTGTCCTTCCTGGTTTTTGATCCCTGCCTGCCTGTTTACGGTTCTCGAGTTCCTGCCTGCTCCCTGTCTGGTTTTGGTTGCCTGTCTGACGGATTTCCTGGTTTTGACCCTGCCTGTCCCTGACCTGAATAAACTGCAATTGAATTATTTATCTAAATAGTTATCACTGTAATAAACCGGATTTAANTGGAAGTTAAGCCACTGTTGATATTCCGGAGACTTCTTCCGGTAAAGCTTTTCAAAATTAAACTTTAGCAACAACGTTAGCACAAACAAGAATGCTAAACCGGAATGATGTTTTCAGAATAAAAAAGTTTTAAGCGTACACAATTAAGGAAATGTTCAAATTCGTCTCTGATCGTTACAACATCGGGCCATTCGTGGTGGCATCTTAAGCCATCGTATGACCGCCGGTGGAGTTTCTCAAGTTAAGCCCCTGTCACACTGTCCCGAAATTGACACCCGATGGACACACGATTAAGGAAATGTTCAAATTCGGCTCTGATCGTAACAACATCGGGCCATTGGTGAGGGCATCTTAAGCCATCGTATGACCGCCGGTGGAATTTATCAGTCTCCGGCAGCAACTTCGGGAGCGGTGCCAAAGATTTTGCCACCGATCATACGATGGCTTAAGATGCCCTCACGAATGGCCCGATGTTGCTACGATCAGAGCCGAATTTGAACATTTCCTTTATCGTGTGTCCATCTGGTTGTTTTATTGCACAACAAAATCATGTAAACATATTATGTAAATAACCCAATTTGTGTTCTGTGAAACTAAAAAGGATATAATATATTATTTTGAAGGCGAGGAAGTTGTTGTTGCTATGGAAACAACATGACGGAGAAAACTTAATATCTTCTACATATAAAGACGGAGAAAGTAAAGAACAAAGTCGGAAAATATCAGTACAGTATCATAATACTTTAACATAATTGTTTGTGTTACTTTCGTTGCAGTTGTATGTCTTAAATGTAATGTAAATGTTGCCTTCGTGTGTGGTTCGGGGCCATCTTCGTGCGAAATTCACAATTCCATATTCGTGTGTCCGTCGAGTGTCAATTTCGGGACAGTGTGACAGGGGCTTAAAGGATATTCTATTTGTGTGTAGGCTTGAAGAGTAACAGATTACATGTAACTGGAATACGTAAACAGAATACAAAGAGAAGTTAACAGTATTCCCTTACCGTTTCATAAAAAATATGTAATCAGATTACTGTTAAATTTCAAAAATGCATGATTACTAGCAGGATTACGATGTTTCTTAAAAACAAAAACATATTAACATAAGGAGCATTTAGTTTTGTTTCCTTTGTAAACTGTACCATTCTGTTGGCTAATACTTTAAGTGTGAATATATACGCCTACTGCCTGAATTTACTTTTTATGGTTTTCACTTCTTATTAGTTGTTTCATTATTATTATTCAGTAGGGGAACATACTGTTTATGTTCATACAATTGTGTGCGTGAGTTTAACTGTGTGAGCCTCAAGAAGCTCCAGATTGCTTATAATGATTGTCTGCGTATACTGCTTAGAAAACCAAGGTGGTACAGTGCAAGTGACATTTTTTGTAATGCACGAGTCAACACGTTCCATGCTCTCTTGTGAAATCTGATGTACAAATTCATCTGTCGATTTAATGTTTCTCATAACTCTGTCATTATGCTGCTTTCAAATCCGTGTCTCTGAACTGTGTGACACCAGTCACCTATCTGTGGAAACATTGGTATAACTGCCTTTTTTAATTTATATTTGAGTGTTGTATGTCTTTTAATAATGGACCAAGAGTCTCTTCAAATAAAAGCTGATGATGATGATGATGATGATGATGATGATGATGATGATGATGATGATGATGATGATGATGATGATGATGATGATGATGTATGTATTAAACTAAAATGGAGCATTTTCTTTTTGCTCTGATTTTCTTTTTCTTTTTAATGTATAGTATGTATTACTGCACTGTGTTTCATGTGTTGTGCACTCATTGTTGGTGTAAAGAATAATCCCTGATGAAAGGCAGGTTTTCAGGAAAAAAAATTCATACATAATACACTAAAGTAATATCTTATTGATATTCCTTTTCTCTTATATTTATTTTTGATATGAGGTCATCAAAAAGTAATGGAAAGTAATCAGGTTACATTACTTTTATATTTTGATACTCAAATGAGGTTACTGATTAAAAAATTCTTTGTACAGGTAAAAAGGAATACATTTCTAAGTAACCCTCCCTGTTTGAATTGTAATATCTGAATGACCGGCTGGCTGGGAGTTAATGTTAAGAGTAGACACTGAAAGGCACAAAAACCGAGGGACCATCAAGTTTCTGAGGGACTGAAGCCAAGATTTGTGCGGCAAAATTTGGATTCAGCACTTTTGCTACAGACACTTAAATGTGAAGTGGAATGCGTGGAGAGTGAGAAAAGGTTTCCTGTGTGGTCGATACATGACGGATGGCATATGATTAAGCTATCACACGAGTGGTGGTTGCAAGCTGGTGAAACGATGGAGAAAGATGGGAGAAAAAGAGTGGAAGGATAGAATCAAAGGTATCAGTTTTCATCTTTTTAATCACTAATAGGCCATGGGGCATTGCTGGGATGCCATTCTGCAGCTGCACTGTGATAAACGAGTCTGGAGATAAAACAGGGACATGGCATAGGGGCATAGTAGATACAACTAAAAGAAAAGTGTGTTGGAGTGGACCTATCATCATGTGTGTGCATAATTAAGTCTTACCCTGGAGATGGTGAGGGGCATGCTGAAGTCCTTCCCTCCCTGCAGCCTGAAGCCCCAGGGGGCGGGGCCTAAGAGAGTGACGCTGTAGTTGCTGCTCATGGTCTGCTCGGATGATGTCAAATGCGTTGATATCACTGACAAGTGATGATATTGACGGCAGGAAAATATGTTGCAGATCAGGTGACAACGATGATGTCAGTGTGTCTTGATGATAGGTAGGAATTTGGCAAGGATTCCCTTTACGATGTTGTTCCCAGATCTGAAGCGAGATATGAAAGAAAACAATATATTGAAGGTTTACATAAGACAATTGAAGCATAAATAAATAAATACTCTTGTGTGATGGCAAGAGGGGTTATGAGGGTGGTGGAGACAATAATAAAATTAGACATTTGAAAAAAAACATTATTTTAACTTATTCACTTTCATCAACCACACAAAACGTGCACATAATACACCTTTTTTGTTAAAATTAGATACAAATTTCATTGTGCAACTGGGTGCACATTATTAAGCAGGGTACAATTTAAACACATACGCATGAAAACAATAAAAGCTGGAGCACTTGAGACTTAAGATACGGCCAAGCAAAGCCTCAACCAAAGGACCACCACACAGATTACGTTAATACAACTGCAGACCACCTCCTACTGTTTACTGCTATTACTATTGTAAATAAAAATACTTTACCTCTTTAGTGGAAATTCCAGAGAGGAAAATAAGTCCTTCACAGGCAGGTAGACAATGTAATCCCTAGTTTCCCATGTACTATCCCCTTCCCAGCAAACACACTGTATGTGTGTGAGAGAGGTAGAGAGGGATGCAATGCTCTTATATACAGCTAATGACAGATGGGAGGGGAAAGGTGGAGGAGGGGAGAGAAGAAGAGGAAGGCGAGAGGGAGAACGGGTCGGGGTTAAGTTGGGAGGAGAGAGGGAGGAGAAAGAGGAGGGGAATCACCCATGGGTGGAGTGAGTGGGACACAGGAGAGGAGGAGAAAAGAGGGAGATGATATCAAGGGGGAGATTAGGGGATAAGGGGGGACAACAGTCAGAAAAAAATGAGGGAGGAAAGACAAAATGGGTGGGGGTTGAAGGGGGGATTAAGGCAAAGAGTGTGGGAGCACTGCACACGGAGTAAATGACAAAGGGAGGGGAGGCACCAGAGAGGGAGAGAGGGGCAGAGGAGAGGGGACAGTTTATCTTTCATCTGGATATTTTGGGAACATTGACTCAGTGCAGCAGGCTGTTTCATTTAAGGTGGAACCAGCCGTAACCAGATCGTGACCCGGGACACATCCCAGAGGCTTTGATTTAAATGTCTCTCAAAGGTTGGAGGACACAGTGGGGAGATGGTGATTTGATACAAGTTCAGGATCAACTTGTTCAAGTCCTATCACAGTTTGTTTTACTGCGACTGCATTGATGCCCAAACTGAGACACTTCTTCAGTCGAAGCCACAATGATACATTTCATTTTCTTTAATTTAGCGTCTGTCTGATATATCATTTGTTTTAAGATAAATCTTTCAGGGTTTGTTTGTTGTCTTTGATATGTCATCCCTTGACCACTCTACCAATTAAACAAGCGTTTAACTAATCTGGAACTCAACATCTTTACATTATGATACAAACCTGTAAGCAATTTAGTGCAGTATAATTTCCTTCTTGTTTATTTCCTCATTATTTCTGTCCAGACAACTGGCAGTTCTTCTCCTTCTGTACTTCTGCACTGGCTTTCATCCATCCCCCCTTTTTGTAGCCCAGACAGATCAATATTGACTTTGTATTTAGACCGACATAGTAGTGGCTCAATTAAACCCTCATCCCATTCTCAATTATTGGCCTCCACTCATTTGCCGTGAAATATCAAAGAGGAGTTGGAGAGCTTGAGAAATAAGTTAGACATGAGCTGAGAGGAGGTGGTTGGAAGATCTTCAAGATAGATAAAACGAGAGATATAGAGAGGGACAGTGCACATAGAACTAAGCTGGAGAAACAAGAAGGGTAAAGGAACACTTTTAATATGATAACATCATGATGGACACATAGATAGAGAAAATTAAATCAGAAACATAAACACAGGATGTTCTTCATTAACCTGCTAATAGTCGTTCCCACACTGAATCTAATGCAGACAGTTCACACTAGGTTTAACAATAGCAAACTCTGGGAGGAGCACAGTCATTAACCCGGTTTCCTCTGCAGAGCTGAAGGGGGCTTCATTTTTCAATTTACAGCAAATGTAATTAGAAAATGCACAGTGTTTATTCAAAGCTACAGCACAGATGGTTGCTCATGTCTGTCTTTAAAAGTTTGAACACCTCTTTAAACAGGGGGGTGACATGGATAATAAAGGGGTCTGGATAGCATCGTTGGATGTATGTTGGACACCGTGGGACTTTCTCAGAGCGTCTGCCACTGTAGAAACAAGTATAATGCCAGTGGTCTCTGCTGTTAAATTAATTAAAAACACACTGATGATCAGCTTGACAACAGTTACCACAACATCCTTTCTTTTCTTTTTAGATAAAGTCCCACGTTTAAAATGGTGTAACAAAGTTCAGGAGTATCCAAGGTAAACAGAGAACAACATGAAGTCAGAAGACACAGAAGTCAGACGGCAGACAGATAGATGAGAGCAATCTGGAAAGCAACAGTGCACTATATGAACAGATTGTCCGCACAGACAGCCCCCCAAAGTGCTTTCTCATTCTTTTTGTGGATTAAAATATGCAAAACGACACACTTGGGTAACATAACATTCAGCTGCTTCACTTCACTGTACGCCCTATGCTGAGGATTTAGAGCAAATGTGGCCCGTTTAAATCAGCTTTAAACAAAATGTTTCATTACATTACATTGCATTTAGCTGACGCTTTTATCCAAAGCGACTTACAATAAGTGCGTTAGACCAACAAAATACAAACTTGAAAAAAACAGAATCAGGTACATCAGGTTTCATAGAGCTAAAACATTTCAAGTGCTACTCAACTGGCTTTAGATAAGCCAGTCCTTTATTAGTATATAAGTGCTTTGTTAATAATTCTATCGCTCGAAGTGGAGTCGAAAGAGATGAGTTTTCAGTCTGCGCCGGAAGATGTGCAAGCTATCTGCTGTCCTAATGTCAATGGGGAGCTCATTCCACCATTTTGGAGCCAGGATAGCAAACCGACGTGTTTTTGCTGATGGGAACTTGGGTCCCCCTCGCAGTGCGGGTGCGGCGAGCTAGGGTGTACAGTTTAACCATGTCCTGGATGTAGGAAGGGCCAGATCCATTCACAGCATGGTACGCAAGTACCAGTGTCTTGAAGTGGATTCTAGCAGTTACCGGAAGCCAGTGAAGGGAGCGGAGGAGCGGCGTGGTGTGGGAGAATTTAGGAAGGTTGAAGACCAGNATGCAAATGATAATGATTTAAAAAACTTGGATTCCTTTGCACCATAAAAACATTAGGGAAATTGCTCTATTCGGCAGCTGTCTCTGCTTTTAATTTTAGAATGCATTCCAATAGTTATAAAATAAGAATATAACTTTCTGGCAAGTAATCTTATCTGGGGTAAGAATTACAATTACTGGTTATCACATCACAAAACCTTGGGGAACAAAAAAAGGCTATAACCCTACCTCACTGTGCAGTATTTTACAGAGGAGGAGATGGAGGGATTAGTCGGGTTTTTAATTATGCAGTCTGAGGTCAGACTGATTAAATCTGCACAGACAATTACTCTACCCAATATAAAATAAGCCTTACAACATGTTTCTATGTTCTACTGCTAGATAAGTGTGAATACCACCTGGTGAGTTAAAGTCATGTTCCGTATACAGAATTAATTTGTGTGATTAGTGAGAGTCTTGTTTTGTTCTTCTGTTGACTTTTGTTCTCACTCAGGGTGTTTAGGGCTCTGGCATACTGCCAAACTTCCTCTAGGATTTCTCAGTCTAACTGAAGGGAGACAGAATAAAATACCTACCATTTCACTCTTATTTCCACTAAACAAAACTTGCCTTCCCAAGTCTTTTTAAATCTATATAACCGTTGCCATTGCGCTTTTTGTTGTGAACTTGCAAGGCAAAAAAATAACCCGGCACATTAAAAAATAAACAATCCCCAACACTAATACACAGTTTATGCCATTTTAAAACTTTTACAGATTCACAGAGAAGTCAAAAACTCTTGTCGGCACAAAGCATACATTAAAGAATTGGATTTAAAACCTAATTTAAAATGAATGCCCTATTCAGACTACCAGGCTGTTATCTTCAGTTTAGGGCTGAAACCACAATGATTTTAGCACAAAGCATACATTTAAATGAATGGATTTAAACCTAATTTAAAATGAATGCTATTCAGACTACAGCTGTTATCTTCAGTTTAGGCCTGAAACACATGATTTATACAAGAGAACTGTATGCTGTGACCCTCGTGTGTGTGTGTGTGTGTGTGTGTGTGTGTGTGTGTGTGTGTGTGTGTGTGTGTGTGTGTGTGTGTGTGTGTGTGTGTTGTGAGCATGTGTGTTTGGCTGGGGGCTAAGCTGTGATCATTAAGCATGTGGAGAGGTGAGCATATGGGGACTGGAATAGACCATTTGACAGAACAAAGGACTGGCAGGGTTTCCAGCTATAGCACACTCTCTATTGTTAGTGTTTGATATCATTATCCTGCGGCCCACAAATCTCCTTTGTTCACTCTGTTGCAGTTTTGGCAATTGGCCATTTGTGATACTACAAGCAATTGATCAAATGTTTTAAGGTTGTAAAATATACCTGTGAGCCCATGGGAGGTCCCATATTTTAGAAATTATATCTTCATGGGACTCAAAACCCACACTCTTCTCACACTGGAAAAAAAGCATCCAGCGGAGCAGTTTACAGTTATTCATTCATTTGTAATTCTATACTTTGAATCAAAAATAATATATGTTTAAAGTATGTTTAATTTGTATCCTCATGAGGACACTTATCTAAAACGTGTCTTACTGTACAGGACCTTTTCATATTTCACCCACTCCTCAAATACACCTTCAAGTTCAAACGTGCAGTTTCTCTTAATATAAATATGTGACCGTGTGAGAGAGCATCATCAGACCTACACAGTGTTTATATCTCTATTGTTTCCCCGACTTAGACTACAAGGAATCTGAGTGTGACCCTAGATAACAAACTGTCCTTCACTGCAAACATAGCTGCTACAAACCGCTGCTGTAGATACACTCTTTACAACATCAGGAGAATACGTCCCCTCCTGACCCAGAAAGTGACGCAACTTCTGGTCCAGACTCTTGTCATCTCACACCTAGAACTACTGGCGCCAACTCCCCTCTGGCTTGCGTCTACCTGCCAGCGGGAGGGAGGTTGCCAGTAGTCTAGGTGTGAGATGACAAGAGTCTGGACCAGAAGTTGCGTCACTTTCTGGGTCAGGAGGGGACGTATTCTCCTGATGTTGTAAAGAGTGTATCTACAGCAGCGGTTTGTAGCAGCTATGTTTGCAGTGAAGGACAGTTTGTTATCTAGGGTCACACTCAGATTCCTTGTAGTCTAAGTCGGGGAAACAATAGAGATATAAACACTGTGTAGGTCTGATGATGCTCTCTCACACGGTCACATATTTATATTAAGAGAAACTGCACGTTTGAACTTGAAGGTGTATTTGAGGAGTGGGTGAAATATGAAAAGGTCCTGTACAGTAAGACACGTTTTAGATAAGTGTCCTCATGAGGATACAAATTAAACATACTTTAAACATATATTATTTTTGATTCAAAGTATAGAATTACAAATGAATGAATAACTGTAAACTGCTCCGCTGGATGCTTTTTTTCCAGTGTGAGAAGAGTGTGGGTTTTGAGTCCCATGAAGATATAATTTCTAAAATATGGGACCTCCCATGG